GGACCTCTTTCTGTTAAATTCCATCGGTTTCTGATTCTGAATGATTGACGAGCCACAAATCATTATCCAGATGTCTTCTGCTCCTACAAATGTACTGATAAGGGTCCTGGAGAGAGTACAGTTAATGTTAACCTTGCTTTTGTTAAAGGAACACTTTATTGTTAGATATACAAAGATGTATTCCTAACACTAACGTGTTCCTTTGCCCCCCCCACGGACACCCTTCCAGCATTAAAAAGGGGTTAAATAACATTTTATTGACTTACCGGACGTCAGCTGATGGTGGGCCCTAATGCACATGCGCGGCGTGTGTTGTGCGAGCATTCGACCTTCCCCATAGGAAAACATTGCTTTTCAATGGGGTTTTCCTTGACGTTGGATGTCCTCATGAAGAGTACGGTCCAGTGTCGTTTCAGTTTTGAGTCAAACTCTGTAAAACTCCAGGAAGCACTTCCAGTGGCTGTGTGGTAGAAAACTAGAATGTCTTACACTGCAGGACTAAGGGGGCATGGACACGGCACCAAGACCACTCCAATGAGATGCCTATAGTGTCCCTTTAACCCCTTAAGGACACATGACATGTCTGACATGTCATGATTCCCTTTTATTCCAGAAGTTTGGTACTTAAGGGGTTAATGAAAAAATAATTTCAGCTTTATTTACTAAAGTGTCAGGGTATTTATATCGGCAGACATCTTGTGCTATGATAGACATTAAAAGTGTATATTCTGAGTCACTCTGAACAGAGCAGACTCCATTTTGTTATTTCCAAGTTAACAAAAGACACAAGATTTCTATCTGTAAAACTAACTACTTTGCCAGAGCTAAAGGAATGCATAGTATAAACAAACCAAGTGATAAGGAGAACGGGGGTTGGACAGACTGTCTAAATGCTAATGGAATATAATCAATTCTAAACCCAGACATTTGTGACAGAGAAGATTAAATAATAAAATTTTACTTTCTATATGTATAAGGTACCATTGTACGGAAAAGGTTAAACTTAGTTCATGATCTGCCATATCAGAAATTATAGCAGGAATTGCGGACACTAAGTCTGGACAAAACTAAGAGAAAACCCTTTGAAGTGAAAGGAAACTTAAATTATGGCCACTATAAAGATAGGCCAAAATGACGTCAAAATAGCCACCAGGAAAAGTTAACTCTTTCCTGGATAGGTATGTTTTAGTGGGACAAGACTGCCCTCTATAGACCAAATACCTAAATTGCGATTCCTAGATAACCACACCTCTAGTGCTTCTATTGGGTTATCAACTGATGACGTACAGAGAGTCTGGCCCTTTAAAAGTTAGGACAAAGGGAAGACAGGAGGGTTGAGAGAAGAGAAAAAAGAGGAGAGAGGAATTGGAAGTTTGGGGACTCCAACTCGGACATGCAGAGAAACCCAGGACAACATCGGAGACTAACACTCAACTCACAAACTCTTTGACTTTCTAACCAACACCACCTTTCACCATAACTCATGCACCTACAGACATCCAAATAAGTTCCTGAGACTATCTACCAATCGGATGAAATATCTACTCAACTGGTAATTATACTGGTTTCATTTAATTAATTAAATTAATTAAAATGTACCAATAGCATGATATATGACTGGATAAAGCATGGTCAGATTTCCATATTAAGAAATCTTAGTTAACTAAAGAATATATAGTTATAAACATTCCATTCTGCAGGTGGAATTAAGAATAATTATATATTGATGTGATATTATCACATGTTAGCATACCGCTGTTTTTATCCAGGTGTATTGATTTGCTCTAAATAAGATAAGATATCTTTTAGACAAATTAAATTCTGCTTATAAAATCTGGTAGATTCTCTTATTGGATGGTTCCAGGAAATGACTAATGAACTGGTTTAAATGTTATTTTATTTGAAATTACATAAGAATAGATCTTAATTACTTAGGAGGTCTAGCCAGCATTGAAAGGGTTATTCTAACTGTTAGCCAGGGTTTTATGGCCCTTCGCTGTGAAAAGTTTTGCTTCCTCTCTCTGAAAGATAGTCATAAATCGTCAAAAGTCTTGACAGAAAATGCTGTTTAGCCATTGAAACGTGTATAGCCATTCCTTTGTATTGTATACCATTTTATACTGGACATTCATTGATTATTGTCACGCATGTTACATATTATTATTAATTATTGGTTATTATAAATAAATCTATTTTTATAACATTGTGATATTATTTATATGAAATACTTTTCACTTACGATAACGACCTTTGGGATCTGAGAATTGAATTAGTGGGCAATTCTCACTGTTTATTATTATTATCCCATAAATATCCCCACAAAAGCAATAATTCAAAGGGATTTTTAAATTTTAAGGTTAAAGTGCCGAACTAGAAAGATTCTCTGGGTCAGTTTTCCTTTCAGTTTGGTGACTCTGGCTTTAAGTTTGAACTTTACTTTGAACTCTTACTTTCATAATTAAATTTTTTTGTCTCGTTGTTCAAAATTATTATGAAAACTGTCATAGAAACACAGACAAATGTAATCTTGCTAGTGGACCGAACGCATTTTTATTTTGAGAACACGAAGGGGTAGGAGAATGAGATCCTCTGTTATCATGGTGGTTATCCGGACGCTACAATTAATGCTTCTGATTAAATTAGTTCCTAAAATCTTTGCAGGTTGTTTATCTCCCTATAGTAACAACACAGGCAAATCCAACAAGCAGTAAATGTTTTTAGATGAAAGCTATGAAGAGGTTTCCTTGGTCTCCACGCGTCTCACATCTGATTCCACTGATACTGTCCATCACTTCGATCTGCATTTACCATTTTACAAACTGGAGGGAAGTCAAGAAAAAGGCTTGTTTTCAAAATTCTTTGCCATAGTAACTCTACTAAGAGACTATAAACACCTTGGTGTTGCTATAGCAACTCTACCAGGACACAGACCAAGGTTCCGTCAAAAGACAACTGTCACCTCAACAATTTTTAATACACCAATTATTTCATCAGGTTTTGAAAGGAAATAGATTTTTTTTTTCCTGTTTCTGTGCAGGGAGAGAAGCAGGGAAGACCACTATCTGACCCAACGTGTATGTATATGGCTTCAGTGTCCTGTCATACACTAAAAGTAATGATGAATTTTTCTTATTTTATTTTGTTTTTTAATTAAGGACACATGACATGTGTGACATGTCACGATTCCCTTTTATTCCAGAAATTTGGTCCTTAAGGGGTTAAATATTCACAATTAAAAAAAATCTTGAAATGATTATTATGAGGTTTTGAGGTGACAATTGATGTCTAAAGGTACTGAAATATGGACTACATGTCTTTCCCCCCTCTTAAGATGTACAGTAGGTTTTCAGTCTCTAATTTGTCTTTTTCACCTTTTGCCTAGCAGAACTAGTGATTACATCCATAATGGTGATAATTTGTTACTGTCTCCATGGTAGATTTTATATAATTTGCTGGTTGTTACAGTAAAGGACAACTGTCATCACATTTTTTAAACATTTATAACATTTAATAAAACTTTTTTTTAATTGAACGATAGATTTATTTTTTTTTACACAATTTTACTTTTTTTAAATCTGGCTGACAGACTCTACTGTTATCGGACTAACTGCTGCTCAACCTAACTTCCCTGCTGCTATCTAGGCGCGGTGGGAGAACCAGGAACCGGAAGATATCTCCCATACAACTATTTGAAGCCAGACTACTCCAACCCCTTACTTTCAGGCAGGGGTGGACTGGGGCGACAATTGCCCCCCAGGCCACCCTAAACATTTTTAAAATGGCTGCTGCAGGGTCGATCCTGGGCAGGTGCACGGGGTTCACTGCGCCTAGATGCCAAGAGGTGGAGGGCGCCGCTTGGAGCAGGCCGATGGCCTGTCACAGGGAGACCAGTAGGTGGCCAGCTGGCCACCTAAGGGCGTCCCTGTAGCAAGGCAGAGTAGGCACCTGCTTGTCCCAGATGGCAGGTGCCTACTCTGCAGCAATATACTGGCTGGATGAAGAAGGAGGCAGGCGGCGGTGAGGGAGTGCTGACTGTGCTTATGATCTTCCTGCTCCCTCGCGCGCCCTCTGTGCTTATGCCGGGAGCTGGAATATGACATCATTCCAGCCCCACATCACTAAACAGTGCGAGGGAGGAGAGAGGAGCAGGAAAATCATGAAAGCCATTGGACCACGGGGAGAGGACACAGAGTACTCCTAAAGGTAGGAGCAACAAGCAATAAAATTAATTTGTGAGTGTGTGTGCAAGACTGTGTAAATCTGTGTGTGCCTAAAAGTAAGCATGTCTGTCAGTAAGTGTGTGTGTGTGTGTGTGTCTGTCAGTGAGTGTGTGTGTGTGTGTGTCTGTGAGTGTGTCTGTCAATGAGTGAGTGTATGTGTGTCTGTCAGTGAGTGTGTGTCTGTCAGTGAGTGTGTGTGTCTGTCAGTGAGTGTGTGTGTCTGTCAGTGAGTGTGTGTGTGTGTATGTGTGTCAGTGAGTGTGTGTGTGTCTGTCAGTGAATGTGTGTGTGCCTGTCTGTCAGCAAAGGTGTGTGCAAGTGTATGTGTCTGTGAATAAGTGTGTCTGTCATTGAGTGTGTATCTGTCAGTGTTTGTGTGTCTGTTAGTGTATGAGTGTGTGTGTGGGTCAGCGAATGTGTTTGTCAAGTAAGTGGTTGTCTGTCAGTGAATGTGTGTGTCTATCTATCTCTCTGTGTCTGCCTGTCAGTGTGTGTCTGTCAGGGTTTGTGTGTGTAGCGGACCACGGGTAACCCGGCTGGTTACCTCCGCTATTTCCCTTCCTTCAGCCATTCAGGAACCCTTACAACAAGCAGGCATTCATTTCCCCCCCAGTAACTGGACGAAACACAATGCTGGAGGTTACAACACTGACTGACTTAGTTTATTTTGTACACGTGGCTTTTACAGACACAGACCCCTACATGGGGTCTCCAACACAAACAACAGGGGTTTCAATCACATGAAGCCGAAGAGGGAGGGAGGAAGGACAATGCATATAGGTTAAACTGGGCTGGCAGTGTCTCTGTGGCAGCGTCCTGCTGTGACAAGAAAAGAGGGGGAAAGTGGGAAAGACACAGACAGCAATAAATTTCACTTCTATAGCTGCTGCATATACAGGCACAATATACAAAAGGCATAGAAATACATGGGGAAACACAGAGGGACCACACAATACAAGGGAAAAACACATGAATATGCAGTGGGCATGGTACTTAGTGATGGCGGTCCGTCCCAGTGTGTGTGTGTTATTGAGAGTGAGTGCCAGTGTCTCTGTCAGCAGGGCCAGCCTTTGGGCTGTGCAAGCTTTGCGGTCACACAGGATGCCATGACAACAGAGGCACCCGGCGGCCAACACAGCTCCCAAGTTGGGTACACCAGCATATTCAATTTAAACGATTCGCTGGTGGTCCACTGGTGCGCACCAGCAGTAGGTGCAGTCAGATTATAGCCTCTCCCTCGTGGTTCCGGTGCTCAGTTAGTGAGTCGGAGCACAGGCTCAGAGATTCTAAGCCTGCACTCTGACAACATTGAAAGTCAGAGCTGTGAAGGAGCAGGTATGGCAAAGAGCTACTGATTAGCATAACATCAATATCCGTTATAAAACCAGGAAAAGGTGGGCATGGATGGTGAGCTAATTCGGGGGTGCACTGGGCCACTTGACTGGATTTGCCCCCCTGGTCTATGGCTGCCAGCCCTCCCCTGCTTTCAGGGACGTATTGCTGTGGTCCATGGGCAGCGTTGGTTGAGGGCGTCAGATGGAGGATTAAAAATGTCACACATAGCAGAAGTGTTATGCAGAGTCTTATGTATTGTATGTAATTTCTCTTAGGGTTTTTTCAGCAATGTATATTTCTGATTATTTATATGGTTCACAAAAAAAAAAAAAGCGCGATAAGATGATTACCCATATCTATTAACCCTGCACTCAAAAGATAAAGAATGTAAAAAGAAAAGAAAAACTCACCCTGCTGCAGTGATAGCTCTGTGTGACATGTCTGCAGCTGGCACGTTAGGTTCAGCAGCAGTCGGTCAGATAACCATAAAGAATGATCCAACATGGCCGATCAGCTGGGTAAAAAAAAGTGAAATTGTCTAAAAAAATAATCACTATTCTTATTTAAAAAGAAATACATAATTGCAATCATTATATGTTTCTTAAAGGGAGATTCCTCCATAAGGTCCCTGCATGCTCTCAACTGGTCCCATTGTTTACAGAAACTGGTTTACACTAATCACCCACAACAGTAAAACTGGTGAAATAACATTAATTATATAATTACAATGGCGCCTGTCAAGGGGTGGGATATATTAGACAGCGAGTGACATATTTGTCAGTTCTTGAATTTCCCTTGAATTGTTGGAAGCAAAAAAATGGGCTAGTGCAAAGATCTGAGTGACTTTCAAAAGTGCCAAATAGTGATGGTTAGACGACTTGTGGGATATTCCCAGCATGCAGGTAGTACCTACAGAAAGTGATGCAAGGAAGGACAACTCGCGAACCAGTGTCAGGGTTATGGGTGTCCAAGGCTCACTGATGCACGTAGGAGGGTCGAAGCCTAGCCTGTCTGGTCTGATCACACAGAAAAGCTACTGTAGCTCAAATTGCCGAAAAATGTAAAGAGACACTATAGGCACCAAAACAACGTTAGCTTAATGAAGCAGTTTTGGTGTATAGATCATACCCCTGCAGTCTCACTGCTCAGTTATCTGCTATTAATTAGTTACAGCCCTCGTTAAGGAATGGTTTGAGTAACATAAGAAATAGTTCAAGGTGTTACCTTGACCTGCCTACTCTCAAGATCTCAATCTGGTTGAGAATCTGTGGGATATACTGGAACAACTAATCTGATCCATGGAGGTCCAACCTCACAACTTGCAAGACTTATTTTTTTGCTAATGTCTTGGTGCCTGAGAACACAGGACACGTTCATAGATTTTGTGGAGTCCATGGCTCAACGCATCAGAGCTGTTTTGGCAGCACGAGAGGGACCTACACAACTTTAGGCAGATGGTTTTAATGTTTGGCTGATCAGTGTATTTACTAATCAAGATACCACAACTGAATGGTAGGGTTACTAACTGGTAACAGGAATCACTGCTGATGCGTTACACAGAAAAAGCATTATATATACTCAAAATTTTGATAATGCAGCTTGTGCAAGGAGCACAGAGAGCTTGTAGGCCTGTTTTCCACAGATGGTTATACTACAGAAGATTTTTCTTTTTGAGCGATGACCACTAAACTTTAAAACTAGGAGTTTAGGAAACTTTAGGAGCCGTTGCAAGACATCTGTCTACTGTAAAACCCTCATCCTCACGAGAGGACCAAAAACTGTAAGGACCAAAAACTTTAAGTCCAAAACTGTTCAGACATGCTAGGTGAAAACCACCAGCAACATTTTTCCTCCTCTTCAGATGATCATGAAGCCTTCCTCCGTGATATTCTTCCCAGTTCATGCTGTGGCAGATCTTCCCTTTTTTCAGGATTCTAAATTTCCATCGGGTGAACAGGAATTGCTCCCGTTATACCAGGCCTGGGAAGGTCCAGAAGCCCTGGAACCTATAGCCTTAGTTGTAAACTCAGGGTCGAGCCAGGTGTCTGGTCTGATTCTCCTTGAGGCAAAAACAAGCCAACTTCAATAAATGCTGCATTTTTCCTTCAGGTAGAAAGGTGTTTAGATAGGAATTTCAACCATATTTTTTATTTCATGACCTAAATATCACATTATAGTGAATGAAAAGCTTACATTAAACACTTTTACTGGGCTGATTCTGAGCTTACAATAAGTATTGAAGTGTATATACATATATATAGATATATATACCAGGTATCTTGTCCTACTATATGTGCAGTGTTGCTGAGCACCAGGTAGCTATCTATCTATCTCTCTGTCTGCCTGTCTATCTATCTATCTCCCTGTCTGCCTGTCTATATCTCTGTCTCTATCTCTGTCTGTCTGTCTATCTATCTATCTATATTTATGTCTCTATCTGTGTGTGTGTGTGTGGGTGTGTGTGTATCATCTCTCATTGGTTACTTATAGTTTGCTACATGTGGCTGAGCTAATAAGACTTGTCGTTAAGAATGTCAGTCAACATAATCTATTCATTTTGACACCTTTCTTTACCGCACACTATGATTGTATGTTTGTCTGGCTGCTTGTCTATTTCTTGGTATGCATTTGAAGATGCCAGATGAGTTATAGGGGATTAAATACTCAGAGACTTCCATTACGTATATACACACTGAATTTAAAGGAAATTCATACTGTCATGAAAATGCTAACTTTAATTACATTGTACAGCTTGTTCCAGCATGTCTAGGGATATTACAGTATCACTCACTTTTAAATTATACCTCATTTATTTCTCCTTGTTTAACAATGTTTAAGAATTATTCATATACTCTATCTACTAGTCATGGTTCAGCTCTATACTCTGTCTACAAGGATCCCATGTAACCAATTAACCTTTTTTTTTTTAAATATCGTTGTATTTAAAGGATCTTCCTGGGCAGTATCACAACATCATTAGAATGAAGTTGCTATGGTGCAGAGAGGTTCCGGGCACCGACTTACCTCAAGGATTAACCCTGAAGTGTGAAATCTGGCACCCGATCACTCTGCTGGCAATTTCCTGCTGCTGCCGTCCAAGACTTGAATCAGGGAGCTTCGGAGTGGGAGTCACCAATAGATCGAGAGCGTCAGATGATGCTCCGCATTCACAAAATGGCTTGAGAAAAAAGCGTATGTTGTTGGCAGCTCCAAAATATTACAACTCCTTCATGTGCCTGAAATTATATTAAAGATAAAATAAGTCGTTCATGAACAACACTGTAAGAGATTACTTAATAGGACACTGGAACATTAAAAGATTATCTGTGGCAGTTTGAACAGTTACACAATGTATATCTTATAACTGTTGATGAATGAAGATAATATGCAGACCAGTAGATAACTTTTATATTTTTAACTGCTTTACAACTTTAGATTTTTATCATCCATTGAATAAGATTTTTTTTTAAATTCCCAGTGTAATAAAGAGGAAAAAAAAAGAATACATAATACCTAATAACTAAATACTAAAAAACAAAAGATGAGGAATCGATTAAGGAAAAGTGACTTGAAAAAAGGGGGCAGGGGGACAGCATAGGAATGGTGAGATGAGGATTGAGAGTGATGAGATATATTATTCTAGTAATGTTGTATAATGTAGTAGTAACATGACCACGGTTTAAACAGGAAATGTTTACCGTATGGAGGAGAGAAGACATCACCTGGCACCCCAGAAATTTAAAGGACCACTATAGTGCCAGGAAAACATACTCGTTTTCCTGGCACTATAGTGCCCTGAGGTTGCCCCCACCCTCAGGGAACCCCTCCCGCCCAGCTCTGGGGAGAGGAAAGGGGTAAAAACTTACCTTTTTCCAGCGCTGGGCGGAGAGCTCTCTGACTCCTCTCCTCCTCCGATCCGCCCCGTCGGCTGAATGCTCACGCGCGGCAAGAGCTGCGCGCGCATTCAGCCGGTCACATAGGAAAGCATTCTCAATGCTTTCCTATGGACGCTGGCGTGCTCTCACTGTGAAAATCACAGTGAGAAGCACGCAAGCGCCTCTAGTGGCTGTCAATGAGACAACCACTAGAGGGAATGGGGGAAGGCTTAACCCATTCATAAACATAGCAGTTTCTCTGAAACTGCTATGTTTATGAAAAAATGGGTTAACCCTAGAAGGAGCTGAAGTGGTCTGGGTGCCTAGAGTGGTCCTTTAACAGAATGTCTTTTCAGAATTTTCTATCTTTTCTATCTTTGCAGTTAGAAGCTCCATTCCAAAAATATATTTGATCTAGTGAATAAATGTGTAAGGCTAGGTGCAGTCATGATGGATTGAAACAGGTTATAAAGAAGTGGCACAAAGGGAAGATTTATGGAGCATTTTTAGGGACTTTAAAGCTCTATTGAGGTAAAAGAATAATTATATACGTAGACAAAGCTAGAGAGTTGATAACATATTAAATAGTTAGCTAACTTCCACAATAGAACCAATGTTCACTCAACATATTTGATAATTGATGAGTTCACAACGCAGTGCACTTACCAGTAGAATGTTTCCATTAAAATGTAACTTTTACTAGAAATGTCTCCTGATATACAGATATACTTTGATTAGCTGGAAAAATTCACTAATAGACATCAGTCACTGGGTATTGGTGATCATCTTACCTAATTTACTTTTGTATTTGTTGCTAAAACAGCTGTTAAATGTATTAAACATATTGCTGTAGCTGGTAAAATATTTCGTATGTAACTCTGTCCCTGAGGGCTGTTATCTCGTAGGCCAGCTTATAGTGTATAAAACAAATTCTGGTTAATTTTTTTTCATTGTAGTATAACTAAAAATTGCTTGCAAATGCTGCAGATCTCTTGTCTGCAGCCTTTGCAAGCCCGTCCCTTTCTAACCCCGCCCAGACTCTCTGTGACTGTCCAATTACAGACTTCCCAATGTAGCTCAATGAGAAGTCTTTGCAAGGCAGGTGCTCTGAGCAAATGCTAACTCCACTGAGTTAAAAACGAATCTACCCATGCATCCCAATAGTAAATTTAACCCAACTCTAACCCACAAGCCTCTGCAGATTGCACTGCCCAGCCGCAAGGTACCAGACACATCTAGTAATTTTGTGGATGTCGATCTGACCCCTGGTGACTTAAATAATTGTCCTTTACACCATGGGTAGCCAAGAGAAAACTCTATGCAGTGGTGTAATTAGATGGGTGGATTTACTCTCCTCTACATAGATCTCTACTTTCTTTTGTTGCCCATGCCGCCGGGTAACGCATAAGGACTTTTTCCCGCTCCCCCTAGCCATTTGCTTAGCTCATCCCAAACATACTAGCACAAGGGTTGTGTATTTGCCCAGCAATCTGTCCTTGCATTTATTTACATTTTGTCATGCCTGGCTGAATATACTGCCTGTTGGTCAATGCTCGAGGATTGTCCCTGCACTCAGTCTTGCCCAGTGTTTGGGCACAAGGTGAAAATATTTACTGATCATATTATCCAGTATCTGGTTGGACGATATTACTAAAGAAGCTCAGGCTGCTATGTGACTAGCCATAAGGTACCAGTTTGCTGTGGTAGCTCCCGAAGGTCCTTGGTGGCATGGAGAAGAGACAGCTTCAGTAGCAGGTCCAAGTCTGGATCAGGCATCCTGTTCCTGTTAAATTTGAAAAAAACTATTTAAAAATGTGTTAGCATATTTATTTATTATTTATAAAATATTTTACCAGTAAAGGATGTATTGAGATTTCTCTCGTTTTCAAGTATGTCCTGCATCCACAAAACATTGCATCATTACAATAGGGTACAATAAAATACAAAAACAATATTAATACACAACATACATACAAAATGTAACATAGAATAGATAAGAAATATATAATCAACCATGACAGGTGCATTCTGTTTTGAGATTTGTAGAGAGGGATTGTGTAACGGACCGCCTGGCACTCCGACCGAGTACCTCCGCCAATCGATGCTCCTTGTGCTTTCCGAGGGCTCCAAGCACTCCACCAGACACCATAAGCACTGTAGACCCCACAAACCGCTGCAGCTTGGTTGGGGTCTCGCCATCCTCCACCCACCCTGGACCCAAGACCAGGATCCAGCTCCCAGTTGGTAGACCTCTCCTCCTCCAGAGAGTTAATGTACACCCATTTAGTAGATTTAGCTATGACACTAACATTGATGCCCTGCTTCCTGACTGACAAATCAATTAAATGCCCCCTTTCCGTTGTATGGGTAGCAGGATTAACAAGAGGTGACCCCGTCACTTTCTTTAACAACTTGGATGCAGGAATTTGGGGACACAATGGAGGTCACCCATCTGTCAGCCAGACATAAACCCCCCTGGCTACTTGAGGGGGATTGGTGTTGGCATTTTTTCTGATTCTCTTCCCTGAGTCTGCCAATGCAGTAATTCCTGAAATTTATATCGACAGAAAATGTCCTATAAGTAAGATTAACCGTAATGTCTGCCTGTGAAACAAGTAATGTCCTTTTTAGCAAGTTTATTCCTTCAGAGTAGATAAAAGGCTAATCTCATGGCTAGCAAGCTCTTTCCTTATCTCCCATCCCGCCTCTTGCATGAAAATGGTTAAAGATGTAAGCCAAAGTGTACAAGCCGTTTCCTAACATGTGGACGACAAGCTTTGATATCCTGTTTATTAACATATAAACATACCAAATTCTTCTTGGCAAACATAGTTACAGTTTAAACTTGCAGTCAGAATTTGATTTAGTAGTCAGACAGAAAATCTCATACACTGTGTATAAATGAGTGATAATTCCAGAAATCCGCCTGGATTATCTACAAAATCAAGTTACTCATTAACATCAATATATTTATCAAAGTCACCAAAGATATTTGAGAATTTAACCTGTCTGCTGGAGACACAAACATATTGGAATAGTCCACCCACAGCCTATTGAAAAATACAGTAAATATAAACAAGGTATGCACAATGCAATCAATCAATAAAAATAAGAAAGGTTACTCAAATTGAAAGAATAGATGAAATGCAAAACGCATCGGGCACTCTGTTTCTTGTTGTCCCATTATCTGCTTGCTGAATTATACAGCGTAATACGATTTTTTCCTAGTTTTGTCTTAGAGCATGTTTTACTTGGTGGGCCTTCCACGGCCTTTCGTACATATTCACTGTATATACACACTATGACTATAATTACATTTCGATGCACAACTAAAGAAAACATATTTATTGTCTTCATAAACAATCGATAACTTAGACATTAAAAGTGGTATATAAAGATACATCTCTACATCTGAAAGGCTAATTTCATATGTAAAACATATGTCGACACCAGGCTGTGTAAGCTCACTCATGATGTTGTGGAATGTAAAACTGTTAATGTGGAAGAATTATAAACAATACACTAGAATAATTGCTGTGGTCTTGTTTGTAGGGGTCTAGGTTCTCCTTATACTTTTAGAAATGTTAATCCATTCAGGATGGTCTGAACTCTTCTAGTTCCGCAGTTCTGTTTGAACGTCCACATGATTTGGTGAGTTGTTTCTTGAAAGGTTTGTCTTTCATCTTACATATTAAAATTGGGTAAAAAATTCTGCAGTTTAGGAAAACAAGTAAAGAGGAGCATTAGGCAGGGAAAGAAATGTTTTGGAAAAGAGACAATTAAAGAAGCCCATTGGGTGATTGCAACAGTTAAGCTAACCTGTCATCTTAGGGGCATTAAAAAGCATAAAGCAGCATATGAGTGCCATATACTGCAGGGCAGTATGAAATTGATCTGTTAATATGTATAACTGAGAGTGTGTCTGTATATGTCTGTATGAGTCACTGACGGTGTGTCTGTATATGTCTGTATGAGTCACTGAGAGTGTGTCTGTATATGTCTGTATGAGTCACTAAGAGTACGCCTGTATATGTAGGTATGTTTTAATGGGAGTGTGTCTGTATATGTAGGCATGTTTTAATGGGAGTGTGTCTGTATATGTCGGTATGTATTACTGAGAGTGTGTCTGTATATGTTGGTATGTGTTAATGGGAGTGTGTCTGTATATGTCAGTATGTGTTAATGGGAGTGTGTCTGTATATGTTGGTATGTGTTACTGAGAGTGTGTCTGTATATGTTGGTATGTGTTAATGGGAGTGTGTCTGTATATGTCGGTATGTGTTACTGAGAGTGTGTCTGTATATGTAGGTATGTGTTACTGAGAGTGTGTCTGTATATGTTGGTATGTGTTAATGGGAGTGTGTCTGTATATGTTGGTATAGATATGATATTACTGTAGGTGAAAGTTTAGGATCCAGTGATCACAAGTCAGTGTGGTTTAATATAAGAACAGTGACTGAGTCACACCACACAAAAACAAAAGTTTTAGACTTTAGAAAAACAGACTTTTCTAAAATTAGAATATGGGTATAGGGGTCATTATCAGACTGGAGCAATTTAAATGGAGTCCAAGAGAAATGGGATTATTTAAAAGTTGCACTATTGAAGGCAACAGAAAATTGCATTATTTAGATTAAAAACAAAAGAAGGAAGGTATGTAGAAGAGGATAAAGGTCTAGCTGACTGCCTCAATGAATATTTTTGTTCTGTATTTACAGATGAAAATGAAGGAAAGGGACCTCAGTTGAGAAAAAGGATAAATGAGTCATTTATTACATGTGAGTTTACAGAGGAAGAGGTTCTATTTCAACTGTCAAAAGTAAAGACAAATAAGTCAATGGGACCTGATGGAATACACCCAAAGCTATTAAAAGAGCTTAGTGGTGTACTAGCAAAACCATTAACAGATTTATTTAACCAATCATTGTTAACAGGAGTAGTCCCAGAAGATTGGAAGTTAGCGAATGTTGTGCCCATTTACAAGAAAGGTAATAGGGAGGAGTCGGGCAACTATAGGCCAGTAAGCCTTACTTCAGTAGTGGGGAAAGTGATGGAAACCATGTTAAAGGATAGGATTGATGAACATCTAAAAACACATGGATTTCAAGATCAGAGACAACATGGGTTTACTTCAGGGAGATCATGCCAAACTAATCTTATTGATTTTTTTGATTGGGTAACTAAAATTATAGATCAGGGTGGTGCAGTAGACATTGCTTACCTAGATTTCAGTAAGGCTTTTGACACTGTTGCACATAGAAGGCTTATCAATAAACTGCAATCTTTAAGTTTGGATTCAAATATTGTTGAATGGGTAAGGCAGTGGCTGATTGACAGGCAACAGAGGGTTGTAGTTAATGGAATATATTCGAAGCTTGGACTTGTCACCAGTGGGGTACCTCAGGGATCTGTACTTGGACCCATTCTCTTTAATATTTTTATTAGTGATATTGCAGAAGGTCTTGATGGTAAGGTATGTCTTTTTGCTGATGATACTAAGATATGTAACAGGGTTGATGTTCCAGGAGGGATAAGCCAAATGGCAAATGATTTAGGTAAACTAGAAAAATGGTCAGAATTGTGGCAACTGACATTTAATGTGGATAAGTGCAAGATAATGCATCTTGGACGTAAAAACCCAAGGGCAGAGTACAGAATATTTGATAGAGTCCTAACCTCAACATATGAGGAAAGGGATTTAGGGGTGATTATTTCTGATGACTTAAAGGTAGGCAGACAATGTAATAGAGCAGCAGGAAATGCTAGCAGAATGCTTGGTTGTATAGGGAGAGGTATTAGCAGTAGAAAGAGGGAAGTGCTCATGCCATTGTACAGAACACTGGTGAGACCTCACTTGGAGTATTGTACGCAGTACTGGAGACCGTATCTTCAGAAGGATATTGATACCTTAGAGAGGGTTCAGAGAAGGGCTACTAAACTGGTTCATGGATTGCGGGATAAAACTTACCAGGAAAGGTTAAAGGATCTTAACATGTATAGCTTGGAGGAAAGACGAGACAGGGGGGATATGATAGAAACATTTAAATATATAAAGGGAATCAACACAGTAAAGGAGGAGACTATATTTAAAAGAAGAAAAACTACCACAACAAGAGGACATAGTCTTAAATTAGAGGGACAAAGGTTTAAAAATAATATCAGGAAGTATTACTTTACTGAGAGGGTAGTGGATGCATGGAATAGCCTTCCAGCTGAAGTGGTAGAGGTTAACACAGTAAAGGAGTTTAAGCATGCGTGGGATAGGCATAAGGCTATCCTAACTATAAGATAAGGCTAGGGACTAATGAAAGTATTTAGAAAATTGGGCAGACTAGATGGGCCAAATGGTTCTTATCTGCCGTCAAATTCTATGTTTCTATGTTTCTATGTTTCTGTATATGTAGGTGTGTGTTACTGAGAGTGTGTCTGTATATGTCGGCATGTGCTACGTAGAGTGTGTCTGTATATGTTGGTATGTGTTAATGGGAGTGTGTCTGTATATGTAGGTATGTGTTACTGAGAGTGTGTCTGTATATGTTGGTATGTGTTAATGGGAGTGTGTCTGTATATGTAGGTATGTGTTACTGAGAGTGTGTCTGTATATGTTGGTATGTGTTAATGGGAGTGTGTCTGTATATGTAGGTATGTGTTACTGAGAGTGTGTCTGTATATGTTGGTATATGTTAATGGGAGTGTGTCTGTATTGGTTGGTGTGATGGACCACCTGGCACCCCCGACTGGGTGCCTCTGCCAATCACTGCTTCCTAGTACCTCCGAGTACTTACAAGCACTCCACCAGACACCATCAGCACCGTAGTCCCCACTTCCAGCGTTACAGCTTGGCTGGGGTCTCGCCATCCTCCCACCCTGGAGCCAAGACCAGGATCCAGCTTCCAGTGGGGAGACCTCTCCTACTCCAGAGAGCATAGCAGGCTGCTCTTACAAGAGCAAGAACCCAGAAGAGTATAGTGATCCCCAGAGCAATCCCCATAGCAGATACAGCTGCTCCCCCCACACATGAGATGAGACTCTATGTTGAGGGTAGGCAGAAACTCGTTTAATGGGAGCCACAACTGGCCTTATATGCAAGTCCCCATTCAAGGGATGCACTCCCCCCTGGACCTGAGAGTTAACAACAGTATAAACAATTACACAACCACATTGGCTCTCAGATCCAGGACACTCCCACACATAATCAGATAATCCCTCCTCTGTACCTGGGAGATAATTGAGTCATGGACTGTACTAACTCAATTATTTCCAGGCAGAAAAACACACATTTTTATTAAAAAAAAACAAATACCTTTAAAACATACAACCCCCCCCTCCCCCCACAAAAGTTACATCCCCTAATAGCCCTGATCTGGGTGACCAACATATCCAAAAATCACCCAGATCAGTTCAGGGGTTAAGGAATTTCCTGGAAGACATAGTTTTGGCCGACCGCACACATGTTCCCATGACCAAAACAGTTCCATAGAATCGCGGCTAAGTGCTGCTGGGGACCGACCAGGGAACCGCAAAGTCTTCCTGACGAAAACAGTTCCATAGAATCGCGGCTAAGTGCCGCTGGGGGATCGAACAGGAACCGCAAAGTTTTCATGCCGAAAATAGTTCCAGGGCATTCGCTGCTAAGTCCCCCTGAAGTCAATTCGAGGTTTTGGTACATGCGAACAGCCGCCAGTGAGCTAGCGTTCAGTTCTATGGAAAGTGCCGAACCAGGGGAACCAGGGGGAATAAAATATGGGTCTTTACAGCCGCTGACCTGGACCATAGTCTTTTGGCAGGAGGCTGGCAAGCAGGCCCCTCCAAAACCCCGGGGCGAGGATCTGTTTGCTACAGTTGGTATGTGTTAATGGGAGTGTTGCTATGAGTCACTGAGAGTGTGTCTATATATGTTGGTATGTGTTACTGAGAGTGTGTCTGTATATTTTGGTATGTGTTACTGAGAGTCTGTCTGTATCAGGGGCTTACCTGGAGCATTTGGCACCCGGGGCGGATCCTATATTTGGCACGCCCCAGCTTAAAAATGTAAAAAACACCTACATTTTTAAACGAATTTAGCACCGAGCAGTGTTTGTATTTTTTTTTTTTTAATGTATCTCACACATACTCCATACAAAAAATTTCCAACACACGAACACTGCTGGGTGTATTTAACACCGAGCAGTGTTTGTGTGTTTGAATGTTTTGGATGGAGTATGTGTGAGTGAATGTACGTGTGTGTTTGCACGTATTGGCATTTGAATGCAAACGTGCATTTTTCTGTAGTGTGGTTTTTGAATATGGCAGTGTGTTTTTATGTAGTGTTGACATTTGGATGCAGGGTTGTATTTGTGTGTAGTGTAGATGAAATGTTGAGATGTATACACAGAATTTAACTACTGGCCTTGACGATTTTTTTTTTTTTGACAATCTTTATTTAATCAGTTTTTTTTTACAGATAATGTAACATTAGTCAGTCTGGTAACGAACATTTGGTCTGAAAGAACGCCGCCTTGGGCTCCAACTGATTTAGACTGCGATTCTAGCGGTCTGTGTCTGGTACTCTGTCCCTGGGGTACTTCCCTAGCGTTTATCGTAGCCGTCTATGGTTGTCCCTTAGGTGCACTGCGCTACTCGGGGTGCAAAACTAACATTTGGACCCGGTTATCTCATACCCGGTTTACCGGTACGGGTCTGTCGTCATATGGTGTACCTTCCCCTCTGCGAACTGCGGTGCTAAGTGACGTGCTGGTGGCCTTGACGATTTTTGACACTTCCGGGTTCACAGACCAATGACACACCCCCTTCTCTGATGCGGCTTCCCCACGCTACTTAGAGGAACTGTGCCAGATTCAAAGTTCTTGATTAATTTGAAGCTTCCTGTCTTCTGACTGGCTACAAACTATCTCGCTAATCTACTGAATACGTGTACCGAACCTGGACTGTTTAAACCGCTGACCTCCATTCTCCTTACCCTGACTCGGATTACCTTTGGAATACTCTTCTTGTTTAAACCTCCAACTTACGGCAAGTAAATATTGGACTGTCCCTTTCTACTGGCACCTCAATGTCTTTCCGTGCCGTCTGAGTACTATTAATGGAAAATCTCTCTCTTTAATTCATACATGAACTTATCCTCGCAGATTACTCCTCTGCATCCTCTCTATATTATAATACAGGACGCTAATTCCCACTCGGGTTCCTTAACCCTTAAGGACCAAACTTCTGGAATAAAAGGGAATCATGACATGTCACACATTCTAGTGCCTCTTTTATGATCAAGAAGCACTGTGAATGCGGTCGGTGATCGTGCAGACATATCTTTGTCTGTACCTGCTACATATATATTCTATGCTTGTATTTCTATGTAAACGAAGCATTGGTAACCGATCATAATTATTGCTTTATGTAGCTAGAATGTCATTTTAGGGATTCTACACACCATATAGATATATATATCTATTGACCAATTGTCTAGCTACTTTATTGCAAAACCTTTCGTTTTTTGCATACAATATTAGGAGAAGGATCCTGAAAACATTTGAACAGGACCTCCTTATTTTGACTTAGATCGCAGAAAAAGACTAAGTGTGAGTCTTTGTTTCCCTGACATTCTATTGATATGGATCATTGTTACCATGGTTTTATTTTTTGTGTCATTATAATGACAATTGTTCATTCAGTACCTCTATTATATTAGATCCTTGTACTTAGTATCCACTTTATGTATTTGTATAGCCTTTCAATCATTAATTTTAACTATACTATTAAAAGCTATATTTTAACACTCACTCCTTCTTCTTTTCCTCCTCACTACCATTGTAGTTTCTCAAGGGTTAACCCCTATGTGAGTGCATTCCCTTGCTTCCAGTTCTTTCCTTTTTCTTCTACCTTCTTATTGCATTCCTCAAAGCTACAGGAACTCGTCTCAACAAACTACAGGACGTCAAGACTTTTCTCACGAAACGCGTAAGGATGACATTTTACTACACAAACTGCTTTTCGGCACCTATCGTAAAACTGTCAAGTTGCTTTTGGAACGCAGGAAGAAAGACTGGTGACACGCACGCGGCTCACGGAGAGTCCGTTCATTCATTTATTTGACGGTTGGACTACATTAGCTGCTTACACCAAGCTTCCTGATTGTGATCGAGCACGAAGTTTTACTAAAGTGTGAGTGCCATGCAAAGTTTTTAATAGATTATTTTACAATAAATATTGGATATTTTTAACTATTACAGCACTTCAGTTTCCACTGCTTATTTTATATTGGATGGAGTAAAGATCTATCTAACTAAGGGTCACTGACCATGACCTGTTAGAAACATCTTTCTTTTTCTATTCTAACAAAGGTACAAACATCACTATTATCATCATTTATACGGACCGTTTAAAGTATTGTACTACATTAATTAACTGACTCAATATCCAGATCCCAGGTCTTCAATAACTGGAGTGAACTGAATCAGTGTACATACTAAAGACTGCTACTATTTTTGATACATTGTATCTATTCACAGACTGTTATAGATTGGACTTTATTACTTCTCCTTAGTATAAGTAACAAATTGGACATTATTATTAATGCCTTATTGAATATTTTACTACAATTTTTAATGTTAACTATTGTACAAAAAAATCTTTTCAACTTTTAGAAATACGCATTTAAAGGTACATAGTGTGAACCATTCCTGGATATTTTATTAGATTCTATCTAATATTTTTCTCCCCTTTTTTATACCTTCTTATTGTATTCCTTAAAGCTACAGGAACTTGTCCCACCGAACTACCTTCACATTATATTCCTTAAAGCTACAGGAACTCGTCTCATCGAACTATCTTCATATTGCACTCCTTAAAGCTACAGGAACTCTTCTTATCAAACTTTCTACTTCTCATGTTCCTTAAGTCTACAGGAACCTCCCCATCGACCTATACTCTCATCACTTCCTCAAACACTATTCTGCAGTTGAGTTCCACTCCAAATCCATAGGAAGCATAACACACATATACACATATACTCACATATACACCCTGTTCCAAATTCTATTTAAGTGTCACTAAGATTAAATATTTTGTTTTTCAGTTTAACTCATGGATGGCATTGTGTCTCAAGGCTCTTTTGATCACTGAAAACAATCTCGGACACCTGTGATAATTAGATTGCCAGGTGAGCCCAATTTAAGGAAAAACTACTAAAAGAGGGTGTTCCACATGATTATGCAGAGCACCATTTTCATGCAATATGGGGAAGGAAAAGGATCTCTCTGCTGCCGAAAAGAGAGAAATAGTTCAATGCTTTGGACGAGGTATGAAAACATTAGATATTTCATGAAAACCTAAGCGTGCTCATCGCACTATTAAGAGATTTGTGACTGATTCAGAGCACAGACGGGTTCGTACAGATAAAGGCACATTGAGGAAAATTTCTGCCAGATCCATGCATTGGATGAAGAGAGCAGCTGCTAAAATACCATTACATAGCAGCAAACATATATTTGAAGTTGCTGGTACCTCTGGAGTCCCACGGACATCAAGGTGTAGAGGCCTCCAGAGTCTTGCAACTGTGCATAAACCTTCTATTCAGCCACCACTAACCAATGCTCACAAGCAGAAATGGCTGCATTGGGGTGATGTGAGAGGGGGGTGATGGTGTGAGGGGGTGATGGGGAGAGGGGTGGGAGGTGATGATGAGAGGGGGTGATGGTTTGAGGGAGTGGGGTGATGGGGAGGGACTAAATACCTTAATTCCCTGGTGGTCCGGTGGCCATAATTTCCGGTCTGCAGCCCTGCATAGCTGCAGACCATGAATCTCGAGAGACCCAGTCAGAGCGATGCCATGGTAACCCGCGGCGGAAGGGGGGATGATGATGAGAGGGGGTGATGATGAGGGGTGATGATGAGGGGGGTGATGATGAGAGGGGGTGATGATGAAGGGGAGGATGATGAGAGGGAGGGATGATGAGAGGGGGTGATGATGCGGAGAGGGGGGGTGATGAGAGGAAGAGGGGGATGATGTGAGAGGGGGGTGATGTGAGAGGGGGGTGATGGTGTGAGGGAGGGGGTGATGGGGAGAGGGAGGGGTGTAATGATGAGAGCAGCAGGTGATGGTGTGAGGAAGGTGGGTGATGAGGAGGGACTAAAGACCTTAATTCCCTGGTGGTCCAGTGTGGGCTCCCTGGTGGTCCGGTGGCTATAATTTCCGGTCTGCAGCTCCGCATAGCTGCAGACCATGAATCTCGCAAGACCCAGTCAGAGCATTGTCGTGGTAACCCGCGGTGTGGCAGAATCGCCACTTTAATCCTTTGTATGCGTATGGAATGGCTGTAATATTTGTATGTGTGTGGCAAATACAGCCACTTGGAGACCGAAAAGACTTTCTTATCCTAAATTGTGTTCAGGACTTTAAAATGGCCGTATTCCCTATGGTTCATCTATGGGGATCCAGCATTCGTTTCCCGAACAGTGATCTGCAATCCTGTTCGGGGAACTACCTAACTACCGAACGGCAAACCACTCCGGTGAGGTTGTGTGTCTCTCATTAGCCCAGTTGCAACATTGTTGCAAGTGTTTAATTGATTTTGTGTGTGTGGCCGCCGTTCTTGTACGGAACACGTGGCAGCGGCCATCTTTGTTTGCTAAGAGTTCAGCGGTGTTTGGTCGTCGAGCACCTGGAACTCAAATCGGTTACTTGATTTCCAAACACCGCTGAACTTTCATAGCGTTCGGGAACCTCGCTCTTTCGGTGAATTAAAACCGTTCGTGAGTTTTCCAGTTCTAGACCAGGTTCACTAAAAATGGTTCTCTGTGTGTCGTTCGCTTATTTCTGCAGGGATCTGAGCGGTACTTCGTGAGATTGTACATTCAGATCCCTGCAATCTAATGAAGGGTCATTCGTGTAAATCTGTTGAAAATTACCGAAGTTATACATTTTAATGTAAAATACCAGATTTTACTGTAACCACTGTTAATGTAATTACCCATGCCTGCTGTCATCTTTGTCCCTGGACAGCAGGGGATGCTGGGAAATGACCCTGCACGGTCAGTTTCCCACACAGTCCATCTGATTAAAACCCCTGTTGTCCCAGTCTGGAAACCCTGTACAGTGAAAATCACATAAATTTGGTGCTGTTTCAATAAAGCCCTCAGTTGACTCCCAGAACTGTGTTTCGTCCGGTTACTGGGGCATTTGGGATATTGCCTTCATTCAGCGCTTTTCTTGGATTACTTTATTTTACCAGCGGAGATATTGGGATTTAATATTGCAGCTCCGCTACACGCAGCAACGCTCTGATTTCTCAGATCTTGCGAGACACATGGTCTGCAGCTCTGCACACTGCGGCGCTGCAGACCGGTGTCTGCGATGGGTGCATGAGGGGCAGCTGCTCCTTTAGAACTTATGGGGGAAAAAACGACCCGGAAAGATGACAAAAATCTGTCCACCAGTGGCAGAGGTGACATCATATCCCAGATCTCGTATACGTAAAGCTTGTGAGAGGGAACTAGGAAATCAGTGCGGACAGAGCCCATCAGTGTACTCATTGCCTGCTCCAAAACCACATACATCAGCCACAGAGCAATGAGCTAGTCGGCCAGTCTGGCTTTAGGGGGGTTCCCTGTGCTCTCCTCCGCCGCCTGTTGTCAGAGCAGAGCACACAGCTTCCCTGCTTACTACTTCTGGCCAGGGGACATTTTTGGTTTGCAATGGAGATCTGGCGCCTGGAATTTGTTGAGCCCCGCTCAAGCCTCGTATAAAAGCTCAAGCCATAGCAAACATTCCTCTACCTTTACATGCATATAAACTGGGCGGGGTTTGTAAGGTTAAAAGAACATTCAGCAGAAGATATGTAATAGGCGCTCTCTAAAAACTAATACAATATAAAAAAACGGGCTGCAGTAACTAATTAGGGAAAATTTATTCATACTTACCGTAATTTTCTTTTCCTGGCTATTATTCATGGCAGCATTTAACATATGGGTTTAGCTCCTCCCTCTAACCCTCAGGACAGGAAACACAATCAATTAAACAATTAAGCATACCTTCCCCTTGTATAATAGGAACCCCATCAGCCATCACACCTCAGTCAAGTAACAAGAAGCATATCCAATAGAGGGTGGGAAACCAAATGCTGCCATGAATAATAGCCAGGAAATGAAAATTACGGTAAGTATGAATAAATTTTCCCTATTCCTGGCTAATCATGGCAGCATTTAACATATGGGATTCCCCAAGCAATAACAACACAGGGAGGGAAATGCATGCTACAAAAATAGTTTAATATAGAGATCATCTATGAGGATTAAAGGAGTTCAGGACCGACAGGCCAAACTCCGAATCCGAGCGGGAAGCAATATCCACTTTGTAGTGATTTACAAAGGTCTTTAGAGAAGACCAATTGGCAGCCTTACAGATGCTCTCTGCAGGAACTCCTGACTCTGCAGCCCATGAAGTAGCGATAGATCTTGTGGAATGAGCCCTGATGTTTTTCGGAACAGGAACACCACACGCTCCATAAGCCTTGGAGATAGCCGAAACCGTCCAGGAACGAAGAGTGGAGACTGAGGCGGCTTCACCTTTGCGAGAACCCCAAGGTATAATGAATAATTGAGAGGATTTCCTCCAAGCAGCAGAGCGTTCTATATACATCAGTAAACATCTACGAAGATCCAGCATATGACACCTTGATTCCTCAGGGGTAGAAGGATGCTGAAAATAGGCAGGCAAGATAATTTCCTGATTGAGATGGAAAGATGTAACAACCTTGGGAAGAAATTCAGGCCTCGGTCGGAGAACGACCCTATCATCAAAGAATGAAGTGTAAGGTTCCTCGGCTGATAAAGCTCTGATGTCAGACATTCTTCTGGCAGAGACTAGAGCCAGTAATAATAGAGTCTTCTGAGAAAGGATCTGCAAATGTATGCTCCCAATAGGTTCGAAGGGAGACTCCGTTAGGGCCTGCAGTACCAGAGGCAAATTCCAAGGAGACGCCAGTTGTCTGATAGGAGGTCTAATCCGTACAACGGCCTTGAAAAAACGAACCACCATAGGATGAAGTGCCCATCGAGTGCCAGAGAGAGCCGAGATAGCTGAACAGTGAACTTTCAGGGTGTTAAGACTAAGACCCTTCTCCAGGCCCGCTTGTAGAAAACCTAAAACTTGAGAGACTGTAGGAGTACCCATGTTCTGTATAGAAGAATTTAACCAGACCGCAAAGGCTTCCCATATTCTGTGGTAAGTAGATGAAGTGGAGATCTTCCTGGAACATAAAAGGGTAGCCACCACCTGTTCCGATAAGCCCTGTTTCTTCAGGGATTGCCTTTCAGAAGCCAAGCATGAAGCCTGAGCTTGTAAGGTTCTGGATGAACCACTGGGCCTTGTGTCAGCAGATTCTCCGAGACTGGAATCTCCCAAGGATCCTCCAATGCCAACCTCCTCAGAAGAGGAAACCAAGGGCGTCTTGGCCAGAAGGGGATCACTGCAATCACCCTGCAACGTTCTCTGGAAATCTTCCTCAGAACAGCTTGAATGAGAGGAACTGGGGGAAAGACATATACCAGATGAAAGTGCCATTTGATTGAAAGAGCATCTTGATCCAGCGCCCTCGGATGGAATCTCCTTGAAACAAAACAAGGAACTTGAGTGTTCTGAGCTGTAGCCATGAGATCCACTTGGGGAAGACCCCACCTCTGGACCAATTGCTGAAACACCGTCCTTGACAGGTGCCATTCCGTGGCTTCTACCAGGTGTCTGCTGAGGAAGTCCGCCAAGACATTCTCCTTTCCTGGAAGATAGACCGCACGTAGACCTTCCACATGTATTTGTGCCCAGGTCATGATTGCTGATACTTCTTTCATCAGTGAAACACTCCTGGTGCCGCCTTGATGGTTGATATAGGCGGCAGCCGCTCTGTTGTCCACTCTCAACTTCACCCAGGCTCTTTTGATCAGATGCCGAAAATGAAGAAGAGCCAGAAACGTTGCTCTCAATTCCCTTATATTTGAAGGCAGGTGCTGAGCATTCTGAGTCCATTCTGCTTGGACAAAGGAATTTCCCAGATGAGCACCCCAACCGAACTGACTGGCATCTGTCGTGATGACTACCCAGTCGACCTCCTTCAAAGGAAAACCTCTGGAGATGTTTTCTTCTTTCATCCACCAATGAAGCTTCCTTTTCAGGCTGAGAGGAATGTGGATCTGCTTCTCCCAGTCGTCTGAGCTGGATTTGAAGTTTTTCAGGAGATGCTGCTGAAGAGGACGAAGATTCCAATGCGCCCATCTGACCAGGTCTATAGTAGAGGTCAGGGTACCCAGGAGTTTCATAAACTCCCTTGCGGAAGCAGAAGTCTTCTGAAGAAAAACCTGCATCCGATCCTGCAGCTTCAATTTTCTTTCTTGGGCGAGAGATACCATCGCATTGAGGGTATTGAAGCATGCTCCTAAGAACACCAGCTCCCTTGAAGGTTTTAAATGACTCTTCTCGTGGTTGATTAGCCACCCAAACCGAGAGAGAGTCTCGAGTACTAGATGTCTGTGTTGGAGTAACATCTCGAAGTCTGAGGCCACTACCAGAATGTCGTCGAGGTAGTGGTAAATTGCTACATCCATCTTCCTCAGGAAAGCAATTACCGTGACCAGTATCTTTGAGAAGGTTCTCGGGGCCGTACTTATCCCAAAGGGAAGAGCCTGAAACTGGAAGTGCTCCCCTTTTACACAGCATCGAAGAAACTTCTGATGTCTTTCTGTGACCGGAACATGGAAGTAGGCATCTTTTAGGTCTATTGAGATTAACCAGTCTCTGTGGTGAATCACTGGAATGATGGAACGGATGGATTCCATACGAAACTTTCTTATCCTTAAGAAGATGTTGAGCTGGTGTAGGTCTAGAATAGGTCTCCACTTTCCTCCTGGTTTCTTTACTAAGAACAGGGGAGAATAGAACCCTTGGAACCTTTCTTTCACAGGAACCGGGACAATGACCCTTTCCAGAAAAAGATTGGCAACATAATGGGTCAAGACTTCTCTTTTTTGTCTGTCGACAGGGAGTCTTGTTCTGATGAATCTTGGTGGAGGGGAAATATCTTCGAACTCCAGAGAATATCCTGCGGTGATTACGGAATTCACCCAAGCATCTGGAATCACACTCCAGGTCCTCCAGAAGAACGAAAAGCGTGCTCCTACATGGGGAACCTGGTATAAGCCACCTTCAGAACTGTCTGGTGGGGCGAAAGGAGGAATTTTGAGCCTTTGGTCTGGAAGATTTCCCGGTTTGACCACTCTTCCAATTGGAGAGCCGAGCATATTCTCTGCCTGGACGATAGGTTTTACTATCTCTATATCCTCCCTGTGGCCTGTAAGGACGATGGTCCTGTTGTGGTCTTTTTGGACGCCTGTCCTGTGGAAGCAAGATTTGCTTGACCTCAGCCGCTCTTTTAATCGCCTCCTCAAGTGGTCTGCCAAAAAGCACCTCTCCCAGAAATGGCAAGGTACACAAATTATTCTTGGAAGATAGGTCAGCTCCCCAGGATCTCAACCAAAGAGCCCTTCTGGCAGTAACCGAATGAGCCATAACCTTGGAAAAAATCCTGATAAGATCTGTGGAGGATTCCAACAGCCAATCACTGGCCAGTTTGATCTCCTTCAAGGAGTCCGTCATGCGACGTCTACTCACACCTCTCTCAATATCCTCTTCCAAATCAAGAATCCATGAACGTAATGCTCTGGACAAAGCAGAGATAGAGACTGCTGGATGACAACCCAAGCCTGCTGTAGTGAAGACCTTAGAAAGATCTGCGTCAATTCTCTTATCCATGGGTTCTTTGAGAGAAGCATTACTATCAATCGGAAGAGTTGATCTTTTTGCCACCTTAATAATTGGAGCATCCACTTTAGGGATCGCTGTCCACATTCTTGAATCCTCCTCCTTAATCGGGTACAATTTTGATAATCTACCCTGACTTGTAATCCTTTTACCAGGAGTATTCCATTCTGAACGAATCAGTTCCTTAATGGATCTGTGCACTGGAAAGGAAGGTTTCCTCTTATGGAGATCTCCGAAGTGTCTATCAGAAGTAGAAACTTCCCTGACTTCTTCTGGCAAATCTAGAGTCTTTCTCACTGCCTTGATTAGATGCTCCATCGCCTTTGTGTCCAATGAACACGGTTGTTCCGTGGACTCTTCCTCACTAGAAGAGATAAGCTCCAAATCCAAGGAACCAGCAGGATGTCTGAAGTCATCTTCAGATAG